CATCCTCCCCCCCCCCCCCCCCCCCCCCCCTCCTCCAATCTCTCGAGCGTGCGTGTTCAATGGTCCTACCGCTAAGGCAAGGAAAACACGAGTACGCCCCCCTCCCTCCCCGCAATTTTTCCCTCTGCACACCCCCTCCAGCCGTAGAGAGTATAGACCACAAGTACGCCCCCCACCCACCTCCCTCCCCCAAATTTTCCCTCTACGCGCCCCCTCTAGCCGGAGAGACCGCTGGTGACGGGCGAGGTGGTTCCCGTTCACGCTCTCGGGATCGGGGTGGCTTTTCTTCTGGCGGCCGTGGCAAGCGCCTCTTTCGTCAACCCGGCCGCGCTTCAGGTGTGTGGTTCGTGGTTGGGTGGTAAGGGGCTTGTACGAAACGGTCTGCGACTTTTGTTGTTTTGCCGGCGAGCAATCTGGAAAATCCAACGAGATGGATAGTGAGCATGTATACTGCTGTATCTCTCCGAGAAGCACGGGGTTTTGGTGGCTGACACCTGGGTCGCACCAAACCTGGCATCTTTCAGAAACGATAAAGAGTACAGATGTTTTTTTTTCACGATTTTGTTTTCGCCTGAAACGGTTCACAAACAAGAACACAACTGTGATGACCTCCGTGGCTATGACGACTGCGTATATCCCATTTGGCGCAACCGTACCGTTCTAACCCGGCGTACGTCGTGTGTCAACGGTACCTGGAATATATGGATAGCTGTTTTCTGTGTGCTGCTATAATTTGGTTCTAACACTCACTCATTTGTATCGACGGTGGTCGTAGCTGTTTCTCCGCTGGTGCTGCTGCATTTGTATCACACACATGGGGATACGCATCAACGGTGGTAGATGTTTCTCTGCTGGTACCGCAATATTCACACACGCGAGGACACGTGTCAAAATACGGTGGTATTCGATATTTTTCTGTTGGTGCTGCTGTTTTCACACACGCGGGCGCACGCACGCATCATTGGTGGTTAGATGTTTCTCCCTTGGTAGCCGCTAAATTCACACACACGCGAGGGCATACGTCAATGGTGGTGCTGTCATTATGGTTTACCCCCCGCGATGCCCGCTCTCTCCATATTTCCCCCCGACACAGGCCACCATCGTAGCCTCCGTGGCGCTAACCCTGGCGTACACCCCGCTGCTGAAGCCGATCCCGCTCGTCAAGAACTTCGTCGTGGCCATGGTGATCGCCGCTGCTATCGCCGCCGGGGGGCTGGCCGCGGGCGCCGGGGTCGCGTCGACTCTCACCCCGTCCGTGCTCACGTTTTTCGTCATCGGTGAGGGGGAGTACATTCCGCCGTCGGTGGGCACATGAGACGTGATATCAATAGTGCGTGTGCTTGCGTCAGCTGCGAGCGATGTTGCCACTTGTAGGAATAATGCATAAAATCAAAGGAAGACTACCCGTTTGAGATTAATATAACCACAGAGTCGAAGGGGATGGGTTGAAGTATTTTCCGTCTATGGGGGAAAAAAAAACGCTGGAATACTGGGCTTATTCTGAGTCTTGACCTTACTTTTTACTTTAGGCTTGACCCGACGCTTGGAAAATTGGTGATCGGGATCGGATGCGTTAGCGGTGGCGCCACTTTTCGTCGGAAAGGTGCGCTCCTCTGACAACAATCCTTGACTGCTAGCGCTGGATAGAGAGACATGGGCTGACCTTCGAAGCTCGATTTCCCCACAGCAGAAAGAGAGACGGTGCCGAAAAATGTCGGCGTCTCGTCGAGAGTTTTCCGAAACCGTATTGGATTGTACGCAGTGGAGTAGTGGAGCTCTGAAAATCGGTCCAGGGTGTGTGAGGTCTTGTGTCACCAACGTCATGGTGCCCTGAGCACCGGTTTCCGCGAGTATCATTGCGGTTTTCTTTTGGAGAGGTGGTGGGCTCGAGCCCTCTCATAGAGGCGAGCTTCATGCGGTGGTAGGTTGTTCACTGTCAGGAAAATGGGGGCTAGGTCCACCCCCTTGAGTTTTCTGTCGTAGTTTTATTTTTTGGGATGGTATCAGGTTTTATAGATGGTATCAGGTTTCGTATGAGACGGAGAGATGGCACCCCTCCTGAAGCGACTTTCAAAGCTCGACTGCTCCACAACCAAGATTGTCTGTCTGTACCGTACCGTATACCGTACCGTGGTACTCCGTAAGAGGCGGAGAGATGGCACCCCCGCTAGACCGACTTTCAAAGCTCGATTGCTCCACGACCAAGATTGTCTGTACCGTACCGTATACCGTACCGTGGTATTCCGCAAGAGACGGGGAGATGGCACCCCCCCTAGACCAATTTTCGAAGCTCGATTGCTCCACGACCAAGATTGTGCCAACACCAAGAATGTTCGTTTTGGAATTATCTCGTCGAGGGCGTTCCGTCGACGTATCGGGCTATTCCCGAACCGCCTTGGTTGTGGAGCAATCCAGCTTTTTGAAGGACGGTCTAGGAGGGGTACCATCTCTCCGCCTCTTCCACGGTATCACCGTTCCATCCCGGAGGAATTCTAATTTTTCTTCGTGGTAGCCGTTTTCACAACTCGTCTCAGTGATGCCAGGAGAAAGGCCAAGGATTTCTGTCGCTCGTGTCTCTTTTGGCTTTGTGGGATCGGCCCCCCGCCCGGTCCCTCGTTGGTTGCATATGTTGGTCGGCACTCTATTGCACAAATCCCATCACGAGATAGACATGTCTCGGGCAAGTTCGGATCTGCAGGGGATGCGCGCTGGGTTCTGTCGATGCTGTTCATGTCTTCACAGCTTCATTCCCATCATCACATAGCGGTATGTTTTTTTCATTCCCTTGTGACCTTCCATGTCCCCCCCCCCCCCCCCTCCTTGGCCTTCCTTCCCCCCTTCGCGGGGGGATAAATGCATAACAACCGAAATTTGTTTTTATGCTCAAATGCACAACCCTTAACCCTCAACCCTAACCCTAAAGCCCTTAACCTCAAACCCCTTTAAAAACCCTAACCCTAACCCTAGAACTCCTAGCCCTGAACCCTAAAAACCCTAAACCCTAAGGTCATCGCGAGGTCCTGATGGACATCGCCGACGTGGAAGGCGACCGGGAGGCCGGGGTACGCACCCTGCCGGTGCTGATGGGCCGCCAGGCTGCCCTGGTCTTCGCCACGGCGCTGCTGTCGGCGGGGGTTGTCGCCGCCGGCGTCGGCATTCTTGAGGGTGCGTGTGCGTGCCGTCGCAGTCGATCGTGCCGTTTGGGTTGCGATAAATGGTGGCTTGCATCATCGTCATGAAGGGTTATTGTTGTAGTAGCGGCGTGCATCATCATCGCAAGGGTGGCTGGGTTGATTTTTGTCGTTTGCGTTGCAATAGTGGCTTGCATCATCGTCACAAGGGGAAATGTTGTGGTAGCGGCTTGCACCATCGCAAAAGGGTGATTGTTGGGTAGAGTATTCGATGGCGCTGAGGTGTAGTGGCATGGATCATCATCACAAGCGGCGTTGTACGGAACGAGGAAGGCGTTCGCTTGTTCAAGGAGTCTAGTGAGATGGGGCTTTACGCCCGCCTCCCTCCCCTCTAACGCAGTATCGAACCCCCTTCGATCACATCGTGATCAGGAACCATTGACTCTGGAAGCCTTCCCCCTCCCCTCTCATGCTGAAACAACCCCCTCCTCAAACCCGTCATGGTCAGGAACCATTGACTCTGCGAGCCCCCCCTCCATTACCCCCCCCTTTCAAATCAATTCAATCCCCCCTCTTTTAACCCATAATGGTCAGGAACCACACGACGCCG